TAGATCCTTAATCAATATAGTATTGAGTTTTTTAGGGACTACATACTGCATTCTAAGCATGGTATTACTGTTTATTCTGTGTAGAAGTAACCACCCCCACCCCTCTTTTTTTTTTAACCTAATGATCAACAGTTGTCTAATATTAATATTATAATTTGGTAAATATAAATTTTTATTATCTTAAGTGATATTGTGTTTAGCTTTTGGAAGTGACAGGAAGATACTTATTTGTTTCTATTTTTATTTTTATTGGTTGTCTCAGGTTAGTTTGGTTTAATACCACAAGTATTTATTCATACCTGTTATTTCCAGAAACAGTTAATATTAGACATTATCCTGTTGAACATTAGTTAAAACATTTATTTGTCTTTCTTTTAACTATGAGGAATCTGTTAAAAACTATTAAATCTAGTAGTTTTTGTGTGGAGTCTTTAAAGTTTTCTATGTACAATATCATGTCATCTGCAAATAACTTTACTTCCTTCTTTACAATTTGGATGCCTTTTATCTCTTCTTGTCTGATCACTGTGGCTAGGACTTCCAGCACAATGTTGACATTCCTGTCTTTTTCCTGATCTTAAGTGAAACGTTTTTTGACCATTGAGTATATTGGCTATAGGTTTGTCATATATGGCCTTTCTTATATTGAGGTATGATCCCTCTATTATCACTTTGCTGAGAGTTTTTATCATAAATGGGTGCTGGATTTTATAGAACTTTTCTTCTGCATCTATTGATATGATCATGTGATTTTTATCTTTCATTTTGTTTATGTGATGTATCACGCTTATTGATTTGTGAATATTGTACCAGCCTTGCATCCCCAGAATAAATCCCACTTGGTCATATTGTATGATCTTTTAAATGTGTTGCTGGATCTGATTTGTTAATATTTTGTTGAGGATTTTAGCATTTTTTTTTCATCAGGGATATTAACCTATAATTTTCTTTCTTTGTTGTGTCTTTATCTGGTTTTGGAATTAGGATAATGCTTGCCTTGTAAAAAGAATTTGAAAGTCTTCCCTCATTTTGAATTTTTTGGAATAGTTTGAGGAGGATGGGTGTTAGTTCTTTTTTGAGTGTTTGATAAAATTCACCTGTGAAGCTGTTTGGTCCAGAACTTTTGTTTGGTGGGAGTTTTTTTGATCACTGCTTCAATTTCATTAGTTGTTATTGGTCTGTTCAGGTTTTCTGATTCTCCTGATTCAGTTTTGGAAGATTGTATGTTTCTAGGAGTTTGTCCATTATGCCCAGGTTGTCCAGTTTCTTGGCATCTAATTGTTCATAGTATTTTCTTACAATCCTTTGTATTTCTGTGATGTCAGTTGTTACTTCATCTCTTTCATTTCTGATTTTATTTATTTGGGTCCTGTATCTTTGTTTCTTGATTAGTCTGTTTATCTTTTCAAAAGACCAGCACTTGCTTTCATCAATCTGCATTATCATTATTATTATTATTATTATTATTATTAGTTTCTATGTCATTTATTTCTGCTCTCATTTTTATTATTCCCTTCCTTCTACTTACTCTGGACTTTTCTTGTTGTTCTTTTTCTAGTTCTTTTAGGTGAGATTTTTCTTGCTTCTTGTGTTAGGCATGAAATACTATGAACTTTCCTCCTTTTGCTGTGTCCCATAGATTTTCATTTGTTTCCAGGTAAATTTTTATTTCTTCCTTTATCTCATTTGTAATCCATTATTGTTTAATAACATGCTATTTAGCCTCCATGTATTTGAATGTTTTGAGTTTTTTATTTTATTTATTTACTTATTTAATTCTTTATTGTCAAAAGTATTGCATGTCTTCTTTTTCCCTCATTGACCTCTACCAGCCTGCTCCTGCACCCTCCAGTTGAGTTTTTAAATTGTAGTTGATTTCTAGTTTCATGCCATTGTGATCCAAGAAGATGCTTGATATGATTTATATTTTTGAATTTGTAGGGACTTATTTTGTGTCCTAACATGTGCATCTTTGAAAATGTTCCATGTGCACTTGAGAAGAATGTATATTCTGCTGCTTTGGGATGAAATGTTTTGTAAATATCTATTAAATCCATCTGATCTAGTATGTCACTTAAGGTCACTGTTTCATTGTTAACTTTTTGTCTAGAAGATCTATCCAGTGATGTCAGTGGGGTCGTAAAGCCCTCATTATAGCTGTATTGCTGTTGATCTCTTCCTTTAAGTCCACCAAGAATTTTTTAAAAAAATATTTAGGTGCTCCTATATTGGGTGCATATACGTTTCCCAGGGTTATATCTTCTTGTTGGATCGATCCAGTTAGTATTATATACTGTCCTTTGTCTCTTTATGGCCTTTGTCTTGAAGTCTGTTTTGTCAGATATAAGTATTGCTACTCCAGCTTTTTTTTCATTTCCATTTGCATGGAATATTTTTTCCCATTCCTTCACTTTTTTGGCGAATTGATTCTTTTTTAACTGATTCCATTTGGTACTAATTTAGGAAGAGGCTAACACACAAATGACTCATGTGAAATTGCCAGGAATTTTTAAAAAGATAGCTTTTAATTTAAAAGTAATGTTCAAAGTAGTATTTGGTATAAGCGGTAACTAGTTTGCCAATTTGACATAATCTTATCTTGATTTTTGTTTGTGTTATAAGGTCTCTTCTGGGATAATTTCTATAGTAATTTTTTATCAGAACATGAGATTCTTCTAATGTGCAATTAAAGTCTTTGCATTATTGGCAATATACTTTATAGAGAAACTTAGGGATAAAAATCAGCTCATTTTATTTTGTAGTAAAATCAGAAATAGGAAAAATATGCTAACATGATAATATCTAATGAGGGAAATGTTCCATGCAGATGTCTGTTTTTCTATTAATCCCTAAAATGACTGTGTGCTTTTATTTATATGAGTAACATAAGATACAAACATGTTATTAGGAATATATCCACTTCTAAAAAAGTTAAACACCATATGAGTTTAGAATTTTAAAGAAATTATTTTAAAAGTGATTTAAATCTTTAGATAATGTAAGATTTGAGATTTCAACAAAGATGTAATATCTATGTATGCTACTTCTGAGAGTTATTTAGGTATTTTTTTCTTGTTCATCTGCATTTAATACAGCTTTTAACATAAGGAAATGAGAACTGGGTCTTGTATGATGAATCTTTTATGGGTACAGAGAAATATTTTCCTTAGTTATTTTTGAAGTCTCCATCTAGGCACACTGGTAATTTTATTTTTATTATAGTATGTAGATAATAGGGTCATATGTTCTCAAGCTATCACAGAGGGCATGTTAAAGGAAAAGAGAAAACATAATTTTTGTTTTTGCTGTTGTCATTAGGGATGTTCATATATTCTTTGTACATTGGGCACCTTTTCATGTTTATTGTACTATGCTGATAGTAATGTCAGATTTTATTAAGCTAACACCAAGTTAGTGAACATGAAAAGCAGAATATTTTGCTATTAGTATTGTTCTAGATTTTTGTCCTTTAAATACTTACTTTTTATGGGTTATAATTTATTTTACAATGTGAATTCTTTAGGACAGTGGTTCTCAACCTTCCTAATGCCGTGACCCTTTAATACAGTTCCTCATGTTTTATGGAACTGTAAACCATAAAATTATTTTTGTTGCTACTTCATAACTGTAATTTTGCTACTGTTATGAATCATAATGTAAATATGTGATATGCAGGATGTATTTTCATTGTTACAAATTGAGCATAATTAAAGCATAGTGATTAATCACAAAAACAATATGTAATTATATATGCGTTTTCCAATGGTCTTAGGCGACCCCTGTGAAAGGGTCGTTCGACCCCCAAAGGGGTCACGACCCACAGGTTGAGAACCATTGCTTTAGGAAGATGTATTTTGTTTTAAGCTATATTAGGCTGCTAACATAAATTTGGACCTATCCCTTTACTATTAGTAAATATGTTGTGGAATTAATACAAATTATTACAAATAGTTCTTACATTCTGTACTTTCACATTTTATATTGAATATATGTCAGTGAATGCACAGCTTTGGTGAGGGGTGAGGAGAGACATATCTCTATATATAAAAGGCTAAGCGACCATCTGTCCAACCGGTAGCTATGACACGCAATGACCACCAGGGGGCAGATGCTCAACGCACGAGTTGCCAAGCTGTGGTGACTTGGCAGCAGCAGTTCTCCGGTGACACACCCTGGAACCAGAGAGGAGGGAGCCCAATTCCAGGGTGCATCACCCAAGAACTGCCCTCTCACAATCCAGGACCCCTTGGGGGCTGTTGGAGAGACAGTTTTGGCTCGATCCCTGCAGGCCAGGCTGAGGGACCCCACCTGCTGGAGGGACCCTGCTCACTCCACTGACACCCTTCGAGCCTTGGCACCACCCCAGGTGCGGCCGGCTGGGGGAGGGACTGCGGGAGGTTGGCTCTGGCTCCAGGGCGTGTCCGGCCCATCTTGCCCAGTTCTTTCCCGCGGGCCACCTTCTAATTAATTACCTGTCAATATGAATGAATCCATGCACTGGGGCATATATATATTGTTTCAGTTTTTTACATGGGTATTAGCATCCTTCAGTTTTGGAATTAAGAAAAATGAATAATAAAGTCACACTGCTAGTTATACACATTTTACACTAACCCTATCAGACTTCATAGTATTCTAGACTTGAATGTATAATGAGAGAGACAGGGGATGTGGGTATGGGGAACTGGAAAAAGGAAACAGGGAAAGACATGGAGAAGATTAATACTCTTGGCTTTTGATATTTAATTTATAGAATTAACTTACTTTTCTCTTAAGTCTTGAGCTTATGGTTATAATTGGAATTAATTTAGGCATAGTTACCAATATAATGGAATAAATTATTTAAGACTGGGTATCTTGTTTGTTATTTAACATATTGATTAGCTCTAAGTAGGTCATCATGTAGTTTATAAATCTTAATGCCTTATCACTTGTAAATATGCCTGATATTTAAAAAATCAAACCCATGTTTTTTGCTTTGATTTTTCTTTGTTCTCTAGGATTAATGGGAAAAACATGAACTTCACAATGAATTTCTCCTAAAATGTTGATTTACAATTTACTTTCTCAAGATTCATTTTGAATTATAGAAATCATCTTCTCCTGCAACCTCCTACAGAAGGATTTCAAAATGAGTAAGTCAACCTTCTGAATTTTGGGAGGTACTTGACTGAAATTAATAGATATTATTTTGTTGGTTGCTGCTAATGTATTAGGAATTATTCTTCAAAGAGTACACTTAATCCCCAAGCTCAGTGTCATTTGGTGAGGGGTGGGGTGAGGCACATATACACAATTATTTATAAGCCTATGGGACTGCTTGCCAGTTTTCATTTATTTTGATAAGCACCAGGGTCAACTTAATTAAAAAAAAATCTAAGCCTGGCATTAGATTTTTGGCAAATATATGTTACTGGATGTGGCATAGTTTTTTGTAATGGAATGTGAGATAGAAGTCAAACATGTTGTCTGTTGTATAACACTGCCTATAGTTAACAATATATTATTATGCACAAAATATGTTAAGAGGGAAAATTTCATGTTAAGTGTTCTTACCACAGAGCAAAAACAAAACCACAGAAGAATATAAAGAAATATTTGGAGATGATAGATATATTTATAGTAGCTTGATTATGGTGATAATGTCATGGGTATATGCATCTGTTCAAATTCTCCAAATATATACATTAAATATGTGTAATTAAAAATATTAATTATACCTCAGAAAAGCTAAAAAAGTTGGTTATATTTTAAAGATATATTCTGGAGAAAGAAGAGAAGAAAATTAAGCAGATGAAATCCCAAAGCATTCAGAATTCTTTTTTTCTTTAAATTTTCAATTACAGTTGACATGTAATATTTTATATTAGTTTCAGGTCTACAGCATAGTGGTTGAAAGGGTGAAGGGATTAAGAAGTACAAATTGGTAGTTACAAAATAATCATATAGCCAATAATATTGTAATAGCTATACGGTGCCAGGTCAGCACTAGACTTAGCATGTAGAATTCTTAATGTAGCAGGTGAAAGGGAATGGCTTCATGATTCTTTGCTTCAGTCTGTTGCCTTCATGATGAGTACTTGATACTGATGACGACAATGTTGGTGTTATCCTTGGCATGTAAAGGAATGTCAAATATACACTTTTTTTTGTTTTGGTATTTTTAAACCTCACTCGAGGACATATTTTTAAATTGATTTTATTTATTTATTATTATTATTTTAAATATATTTTTATTGATTTCAGTGAGGAAGGGAAAGGGAGAGAGATAGAAACATTAATGATGAGAATCATTGATCTGCCTTCTGTCGGCTGCCTTCTGCACGCCCCCCACTGAGCATTGAGCCCACAGCCTGGGCATATGCCCTTGACTGGCATTGAACCCGGATCCTTCAGTCTACAGGCCAACACTTTATCCACTGAGCCAAATCAGCTAGGGCTACATTGATTTTAGAGAGAGAGAAGGGAGAGAGAAACATTGACCAGTTGCCTCCTATATGCTCCCCTACTAGGACGAATCCATAACCTAGGTATGTGCTCTGACCAGGTATTGAACCCACAACATTTTGGTGTACAGGATGATGCTCCAGCTACCTGAGTCACCTGGCCAGGGCAGAATGTCAAATATACTCTTAACAGTTTCTCATTAGAGAGCTTTTCTTTTATTGAGACTACTGATTCACAGGGGGAAAAATCCTCTTTAAGGGCAACATACAAGTGAAAAACAATTTGTGGCAGAGGAAGCAAAAGAGAAGGAGGAAAAGAGGTGGCAAAAGTGGGTAGATACTGAGAGAGGAAACATGAAGGGAAAGAAGATGAGGAGAGAAAGAGGGTGGGATACAAAATAAGATAATTTTCTCCATTCTACTGCTCAGGCCTTCTTACTCCTATTCCACTGTCAGTAGCATTTGCTGAAAGCTTTCCTGGAATATTCAAATTTTCCCACTTAGTTAATTCAAACAGATTTACTGTCAATGATAATTCATTGTCACTTTATAATTTTTTTTTGAGAGAGAGAGAGAGAGAGAGAGAGAAAGAGAGAGAGAGAGAGAGAGAGAGAGAGAGAGAGAGAGAGAGAGAAAGAGAGAGAGAGAGAGAAATTGACATTAGAGACATTGATTGGTTGCCTCCTGTATGCATCCCTATCAGGAATCAAATCTGTAACCTCAGTATGTCCCCAAATTGGGAATTGAATCTGCAACCTTTTTGGTGTACGGAACAATGCTCCAACCAACTGAGCCACCCAGCTAGGGCTCTGTGTCACTTTATACCAGGCAATGTTCCAGGCTCTGGAGATATAATATAGTCAGTGAGATGAAGTCTCAATCCTCATGGAACTTACATTGCAACAGATGAATAAATGTATATTTGATTTGTTATGGGGGGGAAAAGCGGATGAAGGGGATAGAAAATAAGAGTATGTTACTTTAGAAAGGGTAGTCAAGGAAGTTTTCTTGACAGAGGTGATATTTAAGTAGGAATCTGAATGAAGTGTGGGGAACAAATATGTCAGTTTCAGGGCAGTATGTGCCTGGCAGGAAGATGAGTCAAGTGTAAAGGCATATGTATGGTGTGTTCAAGGATCAGCAAGAAGCATAGTGGATGGAAGGGAGAGTGGTAGGAAATGAGGATAAGACTTTGGCTGATAGACCACAATGAAGTAATAGGATTTTATTCTAAATAGCATCACACTTAGAGACTTGAGAGCAGACAGGCAATATGGACTCATTGCACTCAATATTTTCTTACATAAAAGCAGAACTGCAGAGGATCTGGAGAAGTCGTAGGCACTTACCCAGTTGCATTTATTAATTTAAATAGTGTAGTAGGAATGGGAAGTGGTTGTTCAAGGACAGCTTGCACTATTGTACGCGTGGAAGAGTACACAGTACTGTGATGGAATAGGTGATTGTTTTCCTAGAAAGATTTCATTGATTAGCTCTTTCAGAGGCCATTAGAAGTGAAGTCAGTGGTGGCTAACCAGCAAATATTTTTGTATAAGACACTGGGGTAGATACTTTCGAAAATGTTAGCCTGTGCAGGTATTTGTTCCCATTTTACAGAGAAGAAAACTGAACCTCAGAGGTCCTGTTGTGCCACAGCTGCGGGAAGCACTTGGCTAATTACTCACACTAAAATAGGCACTTTGCCTGAATGATTGGGGTAATTGCCAATAGTGTAGATCTAAGTATTAATCATGATTAACTAGGCAATTAAATTTCTAAGAATATACTAAAGGAATAATTGAAAAGATGGCTTCTATTTTAAAACACATACTTTCTAATTATTTTCTGAAAATTAAAGGACTACGTGGTCATTTTTGAAAAATGAGAAATATAATTTTACACACACACACACATTGTGACAACTTCTGCTTCCTCCTTGTTAATGTCTCAAACCTGTACTTTTTCTGATGTAAGCCAATAAATTCTGGCCGTATTGTTATTATATTTATTTAAATAGTTGAAGAATGAATGAGTTCTAATCACTTCGTCCTTGAAAACGAGTTTGGGAAACTTAATAAATGTGTTTGATAGCAGAGTTTATCTAGTAAAATTGTTACAGAGGTCATCTGAAGGGCTTAGTTCTGTAATCCGAGTAGTAGTGATTCAGAGTCTTACGCTCTTGTGGCCTATCTGTAGAGCATATTATCAAATTCAATATTTATTTGGTATAATTCATCTAAGGAAAGTAAATAAAACAAAATGATTCCCCATCCCTTGATAACCTCTTTGCCTGCAGCAGACTATGGAAATGTATCTCAGTCTACAATGTCACATGTTCAAAGTATGCTTTTTGTTATTTTTTTATAACTCAGTTTCTATTTTTGAACCCATATTCTGCACAGATGACAGAAATGTTAATGTTAATGAGGGGTCTCTTACCTTTTCCTAGTGCTCTGTTAATTCTTGGGTGGGGGTGGCGGGTCCTACTGGACATCTCCGTCTTTCCACAGTGGGGGCATCTGTTGAAATATTCATCCTTCATTTTGTTTCTGAAGTTAGTTGGTGGCCACCCATTGCTGCTGACTTAGCCCACATTCTCATCCACAAGGTTTTAGCTGGCAGAGCAACTCTTCCTGCAATTTTCATGCTGCTGATTAGAGTGCGATCTTTCTCTGGTCCCCGAACTCCATTAAGACCATGGAGAATTCTCAGAGAGAGCTACTTGTCTAAGTCTCTTTGCGGCTGGAGGGGGCCTGGGAAATGCAGTGAGGCTAATAACCTTGTTTGCCTCTCACAGTATCCATCCAATTCTGTGTGATCTTCCTGCCTCCTGTGCCTAGGACATGGGATGCAGATTGCCTCTGTTCTTTTGTAAAAACAATCTATCCATTGTTCCTTTGATTCTTCTTTTCTTTCTTACAGGGAATTTTCTTCAAGTCTGGGAGGCGAGAAAGTCTTTTTTTTTTAAAAGATGTTTTAAATCTGTGTTCTGTGCCAGATGTTGTAAATCCATAGGCTGAATTTGACCCACAGAAGTGCTTTTTGCATGGGAAGTATTTCAAAAATTGGGAAAATTCATATAAAAAGCTTAATTTCCAGATTTCTCTTTTAAAGAAATAAGTATCACTCAAAGAACTTTTAATTCTGTTATCTCATTTTTACATGTTTTTGTTGATTTCAGAGAGAGGAAGGGAGAAAGAGAGAAGATAGAAACATCAATGATGACAGAGAATCTTTGATCAGCTACCTCCTGCACTCCCTCCACGGGGGATAGAGCCTGCAACTCAGGCATGTGCCCGTGACTGGAATTGAATTGTGACCTCCTGGTTCATGAGTCTGTGCTCAACCCTGAGCCCTATGGGTTGGGCAGATTTCTTTCTTTCTTTCTTTTTTTTTTTAAATTGAAAAAAAACTATTTTTTCTTTTATATATATATATTTTTTCTTTATTGATTAAGGTATTACATATGTGTCCTTATCC